ATGGGGGAGGTGGCGCTACACCTGCCTTCTCCGGCCAGCTTGTTTCTTTACAGTTCTGTGAGGGGTTGCCCCTGCCCCCCCTTGGGCAGTCAGGGCACCCCACCCTCTTTGCTACTTGTCTTATTGTTGTTGTTGTTGTTCATTATTCAGTTGTTTTTCTCTTTTTTCCTTGGGTGGGAGTCGGTCTGTCCAGGAGGCTATGCTGATCTGGCCCAGGGTTGTCTGTGGGAGCACCGCATGCCACTTAGCTCACCTGGTCATCTGCTTCTCTTGAGCCAGTAGGAGCTAGCGTCTGGCTGCACGGGAGCCCTCTGGTTTCTCCGTTTACCTTGAAGTGAGGATGCTATGCGTGGGCTGGGTGTGTGGCAGTGTTGGAGTTTTACCTCTTCTTGGTGGTTTTTCCTGCAAGGTGTATCTCCAGCGTCTCTCCAAGATTTTACTTTAGGAAGCATGCTTTCTGCTTCCTCCCTCTAGTCGCCATCTTGGAATCTCAGTCTTTCACATCTTAAAGCACTCTCGCAATAATCTAGTGAAGCAGGTATCACTAGACACACTTTGCAAACAGAAACGGTCGGTGAAATTAGTTGTTTGCCCAAAGTCTCCAAGAGCTCAGGGAGGAAAGACCTGGTTCAAACCCGGAGTAGGAAGAGGCAAGAAGGGGCCAGCCGTAGTGGAGGGGGCAAGGGCCTCTGCTGCTTTCAGGCTTGGTCTCTAACCTTTACTTTCTATCTGTCACTTGTTTGACATTTTTAAGTGGTTGGCAGCTTTCCTGAGAAGGAAACTTCCAGTGCTTTTTATATGGCAATTGAAAAATGCAAGGTTGAGGCCTGCCTTTGGGAGAGAAATCTGGTTAAGCAGCAGTGAAGCTGTAATCTCTTACCTAAATAGCAGTTCTGTAGGAATTTTCAGAGTTAAGTAGGGAGAGAAAGTTGAGTGTGCATTTGCAGCTGTATGTTGATGAGTAGAGACTTACAGTGCTCCAGTATTAGTCATATTTTTACCAAATCTAAACTGATTTGTTCATCACTGATAGGGAAAATGTCAAGTAGAATTTTTAAGTGTGGACATTTAGGAGAGGATGGATTTTCTTGCCTTTCTTGCCTCAGGGTCATCTCAGGTTATCAGGTTTAAACATACAAAAGTGGCATTGTTTTAAAAAAGCATGTTAATATTTCAGAACATTCTGTTTTGAAATTCAGTTTCATTTTTTTGGGAAATAGGCAGAGTTTTAAGTTTTGTAGCCCTGACTTTTGAAAATTTTGTATCACTTTTGGGAATTCATATTACAATAATTTCTTATGGCAGTCTTTGATGAATTACCACAAACTAGGTAGCTTAAGACAATGGAAAGTTTTTCTCTCACAGTTCAGGAGGCCATGAATCCAAAGTCATGGTTGGGGCTCTGTGGGAGAATTTGTCCACGCCTCACTCCTAGCTTCTGGTAGTTGCTGGCAATCCTTGTCATTCTTTGGCTTATGTCACTCCTGTCTGTCTTTGTCATCACCTGGCTGTGTTCTCTGTGTGTTCTCTCTTCTTTATATTAGCCCACCAGTTTTTTTTGATTTCAGGCCTACTCTTATCCAGTAAGACCTAATTTTGCTAATTACATTTGCATGCGCTGTTTATTTCTAAATAAGGTCACATTCTGAGGTTCCAGATGGATATGCTTTCCAGGAGGTAGGCACTGTTCAACCACTATACTTATATACTGATTATGAATGGTTTAATTACTAAATACTAGGTTTCATGCTTGTTATGTTTATAAAATATAGGACAAACTTTGTGTAAGCAATTTCAGTCTCTTTAACTATGCACTATTTGGTTTCCTCATCCAAGATAGAACTTTCAAATATGTTTATGAGATTTAAGTCTTCCTTACATGAAGAAGCAAGCTCCCCTTGAGCTGATTTCCAGCACCACAAAATAAAGGACCAAACAAAACCAAACCAAAGGTCAATATATATTAATGAAATATGTGTAGCATCACAATAATTAAAAAAACACAAATACACTGGCAGAAGTTGTAATGTATACATAGGAATGTAGAGGTATCAGAATTTAAAAGTGTATTTCCTTTGATCTAGTTTTTTTTTTTTTTTTTTGGCAGTGCTGGGGTTTGAATTCAGTGCCTCATGCTTGTGCTCTACCCTTTGAGCTACTCCACACTCCGCCAGCCCCAGTATTCTGTGTTTAGAAGTTTATGTTATGGAACTGTTCAAATCAGTGGATAAAAATTTATGTCCAAGGGCATACACTTTGGTAGCATTATTATAATAGGAAATAATTTGAAACAACGTGAATTTGTGATTATGAAGAATTGTTTAAATTACGGTTTGTATACAGGATGGAATAAAATGCTAGGCCTAGTGGAGCACACATATAATCCCAGCATATGGGAGGCTGAGGCAAAAGGATCTCAAGTTAAAGGCCAGCCTGGGCTGTATAGTGAGACCTTATCTCAAAAAATTGTAGTAATTGAAAAAGGTAAGGTAAATTTTACGTGTACTTACGGAAGGAGGTCCATGATAAATGTAAAAAGATTGCAGAATAGCATATGTAGTATGGTCCTATTTTTTTGTTTAAAAAAATGCATGTTTATAATCATTTATTTTTAGTTTTATTTTTTGAGACAGGGTCTTGTTCTGTAGCCCATGCTGGCACACAAACTCCCTGTCTTTCTGCCTCATTCTCCTGAGTTGCTGGGATTACAGGCATGCATCATCATGTTCGACTTGTAAATACTTTCGCAAAGAGACTTAAAAATTAGAATTTTTTTTTTGCCTTGCTTAAAGAATGTTAATAGTCTGCCTTGTGTGTCTCTCTAAGGAATTACAGTTATTATGAGGATTACTCATGAAGAATTCTTACTAGCTTTGTAAGGTCTATTTATATCTTTGTGGTGCATTCCACTGTTTTGGTCAACAGTGGGCTGCATAAAGATAGTCCTATAAGATTATTATGTAGCCAAGATGTGCCATGGGCTGTCCCAGTGTAGGTTTATGGAAGTACACTCTTACGATGTTCACACAATGAGGAAATCGCTTAACGGCACAGTTTTCAGAGTGTATCCCTGTTGTTAAGTGATGTGTGGCTGTATTTTTTAGATTTGGAGATGGAAAGTTTGTAACTTTAAGGAACCTTTCAGCCATATTGAGAGTCTGGAGTGAAGAGTAGATGCTAAATTGTGAATAGCAGATGACTTGTGAGTATTTGGCAAAAGCTAGCTAGAGAGCCAAACTTTAGAAGAGAGACCTGTAAACAGAGCTGATATATTTCTCAGAGTTAAAAAGACAAAAACCAAAAACTAGATGTATTTTCTTGAGTGTATACTTGTGTGGTTGCTTATTGAAGTTCTGTGGTCCTCTTCTACACAACCTGGAGATCCACATTAGCCTGAGAATGGTCTAGGGTGGCCACAAAAGAACCTTAATGCAGTCTCTACAGAGCATTTAAGTTTACAAGAGCTATATTCTGAAACCGTTTCTGCATGTTTCCTTAAAAACTTGAGGAATAGTTTTAGTGATTTTATTTTCCTTTGGGGCTTGAACTCAGGGCCTTCACCTTGAGCCACTTTGCCAGCCTTTTTGTGATGAGTATTTTCAAGATAGGGTATTATGAACTATTTGCCCAGGCTGTCTTTGAACCAAGATCCTCCTGATCTCTGTCTCCTGAGTAGCTAGGATTACAGATGTGAGCCACTGGCACCTGGCTGTAAATCTTGGTAAAATAGCAATCTCTAGTTCCCTGTGTGAAATATTTTTGAGCTACTCAGTCTTTCTGTGTGATGAAAGTTAAGACAGTATTTAAGGCTCAAGTGTAGAGTAGTAGAGTGCTTGTCTAACAAGTTCAAGGCTCTTGAGTTCAAGTCCCTGTCAAAAGTTTTTAAACAGATAATACGTTCCCATATTTAAAGTCCCCAAAAGGATTAAAACATATTCAGTGAGAAGTCTCTCATTTTTTGTAAATTTCCAAAATTTCTTTAATATTTGCAAATAGCATGTTATGTACTCCACTTTACTAAACTTTTTCAGTACATAAAGAATTTCTCACTTGAAGTTACACGAATTCATTTTGTCCGTTATAATTAGGTTTGTGGCGTATAGGATAATTTTACTTTGACATGGGCAAGAACATTGTTTTCAGTTGGAAGGTGGGAACCCAGTAAGATGTTACAAGATTGTAGAAATCAGGTTTTTGGTACTTTAATTCTCCTGCAGCTTCATAGTTGGACCTGTCCATTCTTACTTTGAGGAAAGAGCTCTGTTTGATGGCTCTTCTCAACCTTTGTGGGAACCTTATGGAACCTGCAAAGAATCTGTCACCTCTACTGACATGGTTGTGTTTTCATCTTGAGGTGGCACAGGAGCCCTCTGAGGAGGTATAAGAAGTAACTAGCATGGAGTACGGGCTACTTCCATTAATATTAAACTATTAACAAAAATAAACCAAATGAATGAGTAATGACTTCCAGTTGATTTTAGGAGGTGGTGTGAGGGCCTGGCAAAAGTTTAAGACAACTGAAGAGGTTATTAGTTTGGGAAGGTCTTATTGATGACATTCTTTAAAAAGTAAAATTTCCTTGGGAGGTAAATTGTAAGTTTGAGGCCAGCCTGGGCTATGTAGTGAGACCTTATCTCAAAAACAAAACAAAACAAAACAAAACCACAAAGTGAAATTCCTTGAACAGCTAGGGAGTAGACCAGATACCTCAAAATGGAAATCAGGGTAAAGATACTGTACACAATTCTGTTTTGAACTAGAGAGGACTTTATATGGCAGAAGGGAAGAGGACTTTATATGCAAAGATACATTAGGAGAAAGATCCGTCAGCAACCTGGTCATAGCCACAAAGTGTCAGACATAGTGTGGGACCTCCCACCCCTACTTTCAGTTAGCAAATGTTAAAATAATTGGATAGACTGTGAAGATTGTTTTATATTCACCTTGGTTGAATAAGACTGTTTGGCTTCTTGCTTCCTGCTTTATGGACCTGTGAACAGATATTGCTGGTGAATTCAAAGAGCAGCTGCAGGTACTGATACCATATGTATTAAACCCATCTAAACTAATGGAAAAGGAGATCAATGGCTCAAAAGTCACCTGCCGGGGACTGCTGGAGTATTTTAAGGTAAATATGACTTTTAACTTTAAACGGTTTGAATTTTGGTAAAACTGATCTAGGTTGTAAACCATCCTGAATTTTAGTATTAGAAGTTTCCTGGGGGAAATGGTTGAGAAGCATTTTAAGATCCTTAGAGTCCTTCCGGGCATGGGCCACTGGGTGGCAGTATGGGCCTAAAAAGCAAATGGATGTTCTTTGCACTCTCTTAGAGGAGTTTATTACTATGGCTTAAGGAAGATTGGTCCTCAAGGAAGATGGTGTGGACAGGAGGTGGTTAGGAAGTTGCTGTGAAACAACTACTCCAGGCGGACAGTCTCTGTCCACAGGTCATGGTGAGGCCAGTGTGCATGGGGAGTCTAATGGGAATTCTAGCTTCGGTAGGCTTGTGCTGCTTGAGAATATTTTTAGATAACTAAAAATGCTAACATGCACTTTTCAAAGGTGTGTTGTGTTTTTGCTAATTCTTGGATGTTGATCTAGGTCTTTAGGAAAATGCAGTTGTATGATCACTGTTTCCCAAAATTAAAGTATGAATAAGATAGTTTAGAATGGCATTTTTCATAATTGTGTTTATGTTTATATTTTAAGGCATATATTAAAATTTATCAAGGAGAAGATCTGCCTCACCCCAAATCCATGCTTCAGGTAATCAGTTCTTTGATATCCTAAATGACATCCTTTAATTGCTTGAGTTGATGCAGATAGGCTAAAACTGTGCAGATCACTTGCTTTCCCATTATGTGCAGGTCTGTTGAATTTTAGCACATTTTGCATAGCGGGGTGCCGTCTGTTTGTCTGCATTCACAGTGGGACAGTTGAAACAGTACTGGCTTTTCCTCACTGCCCGTCCTGCCAGACACACTTTGGAAAACACCAAGGTGAAACCCATCATCTGTGTCAGTCTTCCAGGCATCTGTACTTTACTTTAGTAGAAGATGTCCTGGGTCTTGTACAAAAGATTTACTGGTCAGATATTTATTTTCAACTAAGAAATTTCATTTGATTAAAACATAGTTTCTGACTTTCATGTGCTAAACATGAAGGTATTTACATATTTATTACCAAATACAGATTTCTTTAGTAGAAAAACATTTTTACAAAGATAGCTAGAGCCTGGGACTGATGTCATAAAGAGATTCTTCCATCTACCTTTTCTTTTGTGGTGCTGGGGGCAAAATCCAGTGCCTTGCACAGGTCAGACAAGAATTCTACCATTGAACTGCATCCTTGGCTCTAACCTTACACCTACTTCTTATATTTAAAACTGAAGCAAAGGAAATAATATTCTCCTTGACTTGGGGAAGTTTAATTTATGCTAGAAATTCTTACGTCTAAGAACAGATGTTTTGGTAGAAAATTTGGTAGAAACTAACTACTAAACTATATGGAGACCTAAAAAATAACAGGAGGTTAATAAAAAATGATAAATGGAGAGTAGAATGAAAGAAGATTTTTTGCTCAGTTACTTGTGGAAAAATGTTAAAAGAGGAAGTATTTATATAGTTCACACTTTCCTTTCTTAAAAGGCCACTGCTGAAGCCAACAATTTAGCAGCTGCAGCCTCTGCGAAGGACTCTTACTATAACAACATGGAAAAGGTATGAGCCATGTGCCTTTTCTGAAAGCTCTGTGCCCTGAGAGTTGTTGCTGACTTCAGAGGCCCAAACTTGATCCTACTTAATGTATCTTAAGAAGATAGGCACCAGTCTGTCTTCAGGTTATCCTGGTAATTGGAATCTTCTAATTATTACCATTTCTAACCAGGCTTTCTTAAAATGTCACTGTTTTTCTGATTACTGCTATCCTGGTTATTTAAGTGTGTTTTTCAGAGGAAGTGAGCCCAGACTTCATTGACCTTGGCTCTTTTTCTTTTGTTTGTTTTTTTGAGACAGGGTTTTTCTATGTAGTCCAGGCTAACCTCAAATTTAGGATCCTTCTGCCTTGACCTCTGTAGTGCTGGGATTATAGGCATGTACCACACCTGGCTTTGGTCTCGGTCATCTTTGTAAAGTTAATGGTCTGATATCTTTTTTTTCTAATATCTTAAAACATTCTGACTTTCTCTGTGTTTTCTCACTTGCTTTATTCTGTGCTTGGAAGGGATATTCAACACTCTGTGTTTTTGTTATTTTTAGGTTTGTGGGGGAGAGAAACCTTATTTGTCTCCAGACATTTTAGAGCAGAAGCACTGTGAATTCAGACATCTTGCTCTGGACCAATTTAAGAAGACCAAGAAGATGGGTGGGAAGGATTTCAGCTTTCGTTACCAGCAGGAACTAGAGGAGGAAATTAAGGAACTCTATGAGAACTTCTGCAAGCACAATGGTAGCAAGAATGTCTTCAGCACCTTTCGAACACCTGCAGTGCTATTCACAGGCATCGTGGCTCTGTACATAGCCTCAGGCCTCACTGGCTTCATTGGTCTTGAGGTTGTAGCTCAGCTGTTCAACTGTATGGTTGGCCTGCTGTTAATAGCTCTCTTCACCTGGGGGTACATCAGATATTCCGGTCAATATCGTGAGCTGGGTGGAGCTATTGATTCTGGTGCAGCATATGTGTTAGAGCAGGTAAGTGGTGCTGGCTGAGGGTTGATGATGGACAGGTATTTGTGCTTCTGTTTTAAAATATCTCATCTTGGGGCTGGCACTGTAACTCAGTGGTAGAACACTTGCCTAGCGTACTAAGGCCCTGAATTTGATCCCCAGTTCCTGCAAACAAATAACAACAACCGAAAAAATACAAAAAAAATCTCAGTTTGGAGGAATTTTGTAGTGAAAGAAGGCTGAGAAACTTATGTTGTTGCTTTTTTTTCCCAATGGGTTTTATATTTTATTTTTTAAGACATCATTTGTTCCTAATATTTTGTTAACATGCCTAAAAATGGCCCTGCAATGCAAAAAATGTTCCAATTTACACATACTGTTTTCCTCATAAGAAACTTCTAATTACATGCTCTTTAGACTCAATTCCTGTGCTTCTCCCCATCTCCATCCCCTTAATTAATTTGCTTTGCTGAAAATCAAGGGCTTTGGAAAAATATGAGCTTAACAAAATGTTCTATTTTGAATCGTATTGAGTTAGAGAATGGATGCCAACTCCTTCTTTTAAAATCTGCCAAAAATCCAATGGCTTTTGACATCGCTATGATCTCCAGTTTTACAGCTATTTTTCTTTTTTCTGGTACTGGGGTTTGAACTCAGGGCTTCATGCTTGCTAGGCAGGCATTCTGTTTGCCCAGGATGGCCTGGAATTGAGAGCCTCTTAATTCTTGCCTCCTGAGTAGCTAGGATTACAGGCATGAGCCATCAGCTCCTGGCCAGTTTTATAGTTTTTCTGAGACTGGTTTATTTTCCTAAAAGAGTAATATGAACAGATCAGTTAGGTCAATAGCATACAAAGCCAGGGGAGTCTCCACCCGAGCTGCAGAGCTTGGTGTTTCACTGGCTCTTTGAATTATCAGCTGCTGCCACAAACTCCCTTCACATTTGCATTCTCATCTCTTCACTCTCTGCAACATGCTGATGATGGAGATAGATACTAGAAAGTTTATTTCCAGGGATTTACTTTCTTGGTGCTGTGTCATATTTTATTAACTGATATGTTTGATGAATGGACTTTTGCAGGCTTCTTCTCATATTGGTAATTCTACTCAGGCTGCTGTGAGGGATGCAGTTGTTGGGAGTCCACCTGCGGATAAAAAAGCTCAATAGCATCTTAACTGGAGGATCCAGGAGCTCAACGAGCCCCTAGATTTCTGGGTTTCTGCCACTGCCACCACAGTCCAGGTCCAGAGGAACAGCAGATCTGAGACCATCTGGGAAGGGCTAAAATAGGGCACTGTAATAAATGATCTGACCTCTCCTGTGGTTTCAAATTCTTAAACACACTTCCGTTTCTGTTGGAAGCAGTTCTTTTTCTTGCTATTACAGATCTAAGGCTGTGTCTGTTTTCTTACTACTCTCTGCTTTGTGCACTTTATGGTGGTGGGTGATGGTGGAGGGAAGCTAAAAGAAAAAAATGGAAATGCAGTTTTTAAGTCTTTTATGTACCACTTAGTGCCTTTTAAGATGGAATTAATGCTTTACAGACATAAAGGGGAAGCGATGGTGGTTAATCTCATAAAACATGCTGTTTTAGGGTGAAACTTGTCAGTTCTTTTATACTTTACTTTGAGAAGGATTCCTTTTTTTTTTTTTAAAGTTTACAGAATTTACGAAAGCTTTAGAACTAAAGACCAACTGAGAATAATGCCATCCCACTTAAAAATGTTCCATATAATATTAGAATTCTGTTTGCATACAGCATGGAAAAATCATTATTTAATACTCTACAACGTAAGGTCTTTTACCTGACAGGCTGGCGGTTTTGTTCAGCCTGTTTTTTTTTTTTTTTTTTTTTTAATTCTTATAGATTGTTTTTAGAAAAGAAGAAAACATGCCTTGAAAAGCCAGAGTTTCTCATAAGGAAAGGAATGAGCTGGATACTTTAAAGAAAAAACTGAGTTTAAATGAACCACGTGACCTCTGATAAGTCACTTGAACTTGTGTCTCAGATTCACTGTAGGTTTATATTCATGTATATGTAACACATGACTGTTATGCTCACAAACTGCCATTTGAGAGGTTTGGTTTCTCAGTTCTATGTTAAGTATACAACTTCACTAAGGATTAAAGATATTACCACATATTATTGCCTTTAATTACTGTCCTAGTTCATATGGCTTAGCAGTAATTGATAATTAAATAGTCTGAATTAGGGTCTTTACTGAAACTGTTTCTTTATATTCTCCTATGCACTAATAATGTTCATAATATCAAAGCTAAATTTGTTAACTTTATTTAGTTAATCTCCCTTTATTTAATTTTCCTTTTGTATAGTTGTGTAGCTTTAAAATAACTTTGGCTGAGGAAGGACCAATGTCTGTCTAGCTAGACAATATGTAGATGGTTCTAACAATTCTGTTTTTAAATTCACCTTGATTATGTTTGGAAAGGTTTTAGCGGTTAGTTGCTTTTTCCTTTGATTTGTAATGGTGAACTATTGCAGGTTGTAGAACTTCTTTAAAACTTGCCTGCAAGTATTTATATAAACATTCAGGTGAATGAGTCTTAATTTTTGAGATAATTTGATTTTTGTTGTGTGTATGTGGGGGAAGTAGGATGGTTTAGGCAGAATCTGAGCAAATTTTATATTCATGAAGTATGAAATGAAAGGTAGATAAAAAGAAGGTCTCTTCTTGGCTTTAATCTCATCAGAGAATTTTCTTTTGACTAATACTACCACTCAGGTATTTTTGTAAGTCTTCAATTACTTCCAAGCATTTTACATATTTTCATACCAGATTGTCTTTAATTAAGTTCTTGCTATTTTGTTTACTTTCTGTTACATTTTTAGAAAAATTCTAGCTTGTTCTAACAGTTGTTTACTTATGAGCAATGCCAAGCTTTGACTAATAATTGAAGGTTCACTTCTGAAATTTTGGTGCGTTTTCAGGTGGCTCCTTATCTCTTCTTGAGCCACTCCGCCAGCAGGTGGCCCCTCATCTCTGAAGGTTTCTTCAGCCTGTGGAGCTGAGATACTTAACTTTTAATGCAGTAAATACAGATTCCAAAATAATTGTGCAAAGTGGTTCTGCTTTTCATTGTGACAAAGAATGATGTGTGTAAAACTCACTGAAGTATTTGGTCTTTTTTATTTTTTACTTTAATACAAGTTGTTTAAATTCACAATTTCTGTTTTGGCCTTATAAAGGCCAAATTGTTTAATTACTCTGAGGAAGCCCTTTTTTGTCTTAATTAGTTAACTTAATTCTGCCTGTAGAAAGTGATGGCAAAATTTCTTTTCGGGTTCTTAAGAGTTTTCATTAGTCTTTTTTGTTTAACAGTAAATTGATGATTTTATAAGATGCCTTATTGCTGGCTATCAATAGTCTGGGGAAATTTATAGCCAGGTTAAAAAGAGTGTTTCTTATTTGTTACCTTGTCCAGCCTTTTCTTTGTGGGTCAGGGACGTGGTCTAGCCGTCAGACCTCCAGTGTTTGTTCCATGTTTGCTGCTTGCTGCTCAGCTGCTTTTTTCTGGTGGTACTGGGGTTTGAACTCAGGGCTTCATGCTTGCTAGGCAGGCGCTCCATCACTTGAGCCACTCTGCCAGCCCTTTTTATTTTGGTATTTTCAAGATGGGGGGTCTTGGGGACTATTTGCCTGGGCTGGCTTTGAACCTTGATCCTCCTTATCTCTGCCTCCTGAGTAGCTAGGATTTCAGCTTAGCAGTTTTGGTAGGCCTTCTATGTATGCACTTTTAATTTGTATTTCTAACAGTGTGTAGACTACATTCCTATTAATACATAAATGTAAGTCTCAAAAATTTTCCATTAAAATAACTTATTTCATGAGAAGTTAAATGTTGCCAAGTTTAAAAATACTTTTAATTTGCTTCTTATAGTCAAAATAATAGAACCAGGGTTTTGATTCTTTCACTGAGAAATCTTTCTAGGTTGGTTTGTAGACTGTGAGGAAAAACTATCATGTGTGTTGATAAAACATCTTCAGAATCACTCCCGCTTTTTTTTTTTTTAGCAGCATACCAAAAAATCTGTGTATTCCTTGGAAGTTTATTTGGCGCAGAGGATTAACCAGGACTCTGCGTATGCTAGGGAAGCACAGCAGTAGCTGAGCTATAGTGGAAGCCCAGGGTTTACATTTTAATATCTGCTTTATACTTGCAAAATTGCCTAGGAGTATTGTTTATGCGTATTCTGTCTCTCTAACTCACTTGTGCAAATACAAAAATACTGCCTTGTATTTGCAGTCAGTTTCGTTTCATGTCACACTTTCTACTGCTCTGTAGCAGTGGTGCCTTGTGTACAGTGGGTTTGGATGACTATGTATGTATGGGTTGTAGAGACATTAGGTTGACTTCAGACCTGGCAAAAGCAATAAAATATAAAGTTTTATTTTTTCCTAGGATTTTCAAAAAATGAGATAACTTATATGGATGTGTTGATAGAACTATTTTTTTTTTCCCTGTAGAACTTTGGGAATCTTATTTAGGGTGATGTTTCCATCAGAGTTGCTGACATTCGCTGTATCATTCAAGCTTATATTTGGATCCAGCAAAATCTAGGCAAGGGATAAGCATCAGTTATGAAAGTGTAAATTCTGATTAATTTTTAAAATGACATTAAGAACCCTGTTGAATAAATTCCCTTGTTAGTATAAGTCATATTGTAGCTATATTTTGGGTAGTGGTTCTCATTTACCTTTGAGTACATAAGACTTACCTAGGAGGTTTGTTTAAAAAAAAAAAATTCAGATTCCCAGCTTTATACCCAGGAATTACCTCAGTTGATGTGGTCTGTGGATCTGAAATCCTCACTTTTGTAAATGGTGGTATATGTGAGTCAAGAGTTCCATGGGATGGAAGTACCAGTGAGAATGTGCACTTTAGCACTGTCTGGAGGCAGGTGGATAGCTTTACCTGAGGTTCAGAACAGGTGGTCTGCTGCCAGGTACAGTACCATGTTTTACTATGTTCAGTCAGTAGGGTGCCTTTAATTCAGAGGATTATCCAAGCTTCTTAAAGCTGCTTGAAGCACCTTTTTAAAAACAAAACAAGAACCTCAGCAAAACCCTGAATGTAACAAGTGTACTTACTAACAGGTGTGATAAGGATTAAAAAGAAAAAGGCTGGCAGAGTGGCTGAAGTGGTAGAGCCACCGGCCTGGCAAAGCATGAGGTCCTGAGTTCAAGCCCTAGTGCCACCCAAAAAAGTTTTTTTAAAACCAATTTTGATTGCTCTTTTTTGTTTGAAAAGGGAAAAAAAAAAAAAAAAGCACTATGACTTGAATCCCTAAATATTTCATACACAGAAAACCTTAAATCACAAATACCAATAATCCGAAAAGGATAGGATTCCAACTTTGATAGTGATCTAAGTACCCCGTAGCAGGAACTCGTCAAGATAGCTCTAGAGGTAGATTTAGATTTTGAGATCAACTTTCCTTGGGAAGGAACTTCATGTGGCAGGATGTAGTGTTTGTATGATTTGGTTTGATTCCCAAACCTTTCTAGTTCAGATGAAAGTTGTCATGGATGAAAGCCTTAAAGGAGTTAAATCTTGAACATACACAAATTTTCCTTGCTTTTCTTTCATTTTTCTTTTCATAAAAAATGATTTGTTAAAAGTACTTTCCATTACACCCTTGCCATCTTATGGTTTTAAAATTTAACGCAGTTTAAAAAAATGCAACAAGATATTATGCTATTAGTATATTGCATGTTTCTGTATCACTCCTGGTTGTAAGGCCATTTAATGGAATAAAAATGACAACACCACGTCACCTGTGTTCTTGTTGTTCTTGCTGTTCTCTTAAGGGGTAGATGACCTGGTGTCAAAGGCAGTAGAGGCAGGGTGGTTCAAGTCAGCCAACTTTGTCCTGCAAGATGAGAATGCTGTGCTGTTGGTGGGGTTGCTGAAAAGTGAACAGGAACTTTATAGTAATGTGGACTTGTAGTATCTTTGGATTTGTAGCAGTTTCATTTGGTGTCCCATCTGGAGCCAACTGGTTCCTCTCTGGAGGTGGGGCAGACAGGAGGTATACTGCTAAAGATTTCCTTTTCACTGGTGACCTTGGAGGCAGTTGCACTGATGTCTCAAATCCTGACTAGTAGCTAGACATACCCAGTAAACCCCTACAGTAGGAAGTTTTCTTCCTTAGTTTGGAGCACGTGGGTCAGCAGCCTTCATCCATCCAGCTGTCCATCTGTGATGGTGCTATTCTAGGTGCTTCAGGGGAGTTCATTACAGGTCATCGGGAAGGATAAACTCAAGGTGGATATATGAACAGTAGAGTGAAAACATCCAATACTTGGCGCTACCTCAGTGTTGCCTTTGTGAGGGTAAGGCGGTGGGGGTGGTGGGGAGAAGGAAAGACTAGCCCGAGGAATATGAGCCTGTGTGAATGAGAAGTAGAGTGACATATAGCTTACTTTCATTGTGTTGACAAGTCTAATTCTAATTAGCTTAATTCAAAAGGAAACTGCAAAAGTATTTGTAACTGGGTGTCTAGGGGCAAAACTGACAGGTACTGGAGGAACTTGTCATCAGGGCTCTTATTGTCCAGAGGCTCAGTTATCTGATGGGTTCCTACATGCCCTAGGGAAAGGCAGGCACAAATGATTCTAGGGTTAATGTAAATATTCTCAGTGGGAAGAGGCTTTTTTTTTTTTTTTTTTCTTTAACCTACTAGCTATTAGAATATATGTAGCTCCTTTCCAAGAGAAGGCTTCTGATTGTTCTGGCTTGTGTCATGCCCTTTGCGGAGTTAGCATTAGCCTGGGGCCTGAGGCACTAGAACCACTTATACCCAGGTCACAGGTATCTGTAGCCAGTGTGATGGGGCACTGTTACTGGCAACTCCACTAGAACAACAAAGTCACCAGATGAAAGACTGCTGGCCACACCAAAACAACTACAGTTACCAGTTCCCCATATTGGTCTTCAGCAAACATGGGATTGAGTGAACCTGGGACATTTCCCAGGTTAGAGGTTTTGGAATGCTCTTTTAAGTGTGAGTAGGAATGGGTGTTCTGCACATTTGTGCAGCAGAAGCTCTTCAGGGCATTTCACAGGATCTGCCTCTTCCTTTTCAGTGGGATCTGAGGGGTTTTAGAGATAGGGAATTTGAAAGAAAAGGCACACTTCATCTTTCTCTTCAAAGCCTGGTTTTTCTAGTCACAAGTAACTTAAAATGGACACATTCCCCAAGCCTTACCACAGCAGCCTGGACACACGAAAACCCTTCATTCAGTTGGCTGACACTTCCTCTGAGGAATGCTGCTCCCACTCTTGAGTTGCTGTTAAGCAACAGATATCCTTACATCATCATGAAGTCTGCTTTCTGTTCCTCGTGTAAAAAGTCATCACAAAAACCTTCCCCCACCCATCCCCCCTACCTGCTCAGAGTCCCCATGGGGTGGGTTTCTGAAGCATGCACAGAACTTTAGCCTTGTGCCGTCTTTTTTCCCACTTGTCCAGTTATTCCTTCACCAGTCAGCAAAACTTGATTTTCCAAGAGGAAAAGTGGACAGAACAAATTCTTAAAAACTAACATCTTTGCCCCTTTCACAAGAAGAATGGAGCCTCATGCAGTGGTGTGCAGAAAACCTTGGACGTTTTGGAGTTAGATACTACTTGGATCCTGTCTACCTGTCCTCCTCCCTTGGGGTGGGGGTGCTACGGTTTGCATGTGTCCCCCAAATTTCCATGGTATTTGAAAGATGAGTGATTGGGGAGAGCTCTCATGGATGGAAGCTGTATCATGAAAGTGAGCTCTCTCTGGCAAACTTGCTCTGTCTTGCCATGTGACCCTCCATGTTGTGTGCAGCATGAAGCCCTCACCAGGTGCTTAGCAGATGTCAGTGCCATGCTCTTGAACTTCCAGTTTCCAGAACCGTGAACCTAATCAACTTTTTCTCAGGTATCTGTCAAGCAGCAGAAAACAGACTAAGGAGGTCAAGGTCAGGATGGTGCCGGCATCGCCACTGCAGTTTCTAAGTCCTGAGGCCGTTCTTCCAGAACTCTTTAAAGAGAACTTTGGAAAAGTAAAAATATATAGCTCCTGCACTGCATCCCACCCCCAGTATGCCTTTTGTTTTGCTTTTGTCTGACAACATCAAAATAAAAGATGAGGGAGGTAACATTTGAAAGCAGAGGGTGAGGAGAGGGAGAAGTCTGTGGTCTCAAAACAGAACTTCTTGGGCTGGAGATGTAGCTCAATGGTAGAGCATTTGTCTTAGCATGTACAAGGCTCTGGGTTTGAGTCCCCAGCTGCACTACCACCACCACAAAAATGGAGCCTTCATCTTGGGTTTGGATGACGGTACGGTCACTTTCTCATTCTGCTCAGCGATGTTGGTTGATTGGTAATGCACATAAAAGTCTGGTATTTATATTGCCTCTGATTCTCCTTTTCTGGAAGCTGGTGGGTATCATGTGATGTAGGTAATCCATGCTTCTCATGTTACTAACTGCCAACACATTCTGATCAAGGGTTTACCACATACCAGACGTTGGCCTCAGCACTTAATAAGCATCATTTCATGTGTTGCTATCCCTTTGGGGAATGTATATTCCTATACATCATCCAATGTCACATCACCCCATTTTAAGGATGAACAAACTGAGGCTCAGAGAAGGAACCACCCCATAGCCCCTACAACTAGCAATGGGCAGGGCTAGGATTTGTTCCAGGCATCTTGACTCCAAGGCACAGTGCTGGCACAGAGTGACAAATATAGATATGAACAAGAGATAATTTTACTTTTGCAGAGTCAGAGTCCAGTGCAGAAGAAAGACCTGTGTTTGGTCATTTATTCGTTTGTTCATTCATTCATTCACTCATTCATGGAATGCTTACTGTGTGCCAAGGTTTTCTGGAAGGTATAGGGGATATCCGGTGACTTAAGACCCAATAGTTAAAAGTAATTTCTGCTAGACTTTTCCTTGCCTCTGTCCTTTTAAACTGAGGTCTCTATGTTTCCAGGGCTGGCCTGAGCTCAAGTGATCCTCGTGCCTCACTTAGCCTGGCAAGTAGCTATGACTACAGGGCGTGCACCATCAAGCTCCTGCTCCTTTCTTGCCTTTGAATGACTTTAAGTTTAATAGTTTTTTAGGGAGAAAACTCTACCTCTACCGTCTTACAGACCTGGTTGGGCTTGTCAGTTTAATTAATTGACATAAAATAGTTTAGCAGGAGAAAAGCTTAGAACTTTCCCTCATGCAAGTTTCTGGGTCACAGGAGTGAGCCTTCAGACAAATGGAGCTGTACAATTAATGGCAGAGCGATTAATTGCTCAGCATGGAGGAGCTTCTGACTTCCATCTAGTACCACTCCTCCCACCCTCTCCCCCCCCAAAAAAAAGGAAGAGAGAAGGAAAGAAAGATGACCCCAGATGTATTTAGAGACTTAAGAATCAGTTCCTTATACATTGAATTGGACCAAGAACAGTGAGTTGTGCAGAAGCACCTGAATTATGAATTACGGGAAGCCTTAAAAGGTAAGAGTAGTTGTTTATTTATTTACTGTGCTTGGGTCACGATCCTGGGCCTCACTCCACCCCTGAGGCCCATCCTCAGCCCTGATAAGACTTTTATTATTTTTAAACCAAGTTTGTACAGAGTCCTTTTCCATTCTTCTGCTTTTCTTTCTGGAATAGGAAGGACATCTTTCACATCGGGATTTCATCTCCATCTTTGAAGAAACAGAAAAGAGGTCAGAATGATTTCCCTGTACCTGGTGTTTTGCAAGCGTCTTTATCAAAATGTCAGAGTGGAGTAAGCCCACTCTTGAGTAGAGAAAATAAGTACATCGATCCTGGCCATAATGATCTTTTGTGATGTGTATACAAAGATCAAGTTTAATACATGTTCTTAAAATACTAGGCACGGACTGACTGCCTCTAGGCAGAGGAGGCGTGGGGAGGAGAGGCTGCCAGGGAGAGGGCGGCATCCATTTGTCCCCAGTGGATGGAGCAGGGAACTCTGCGAGCCTCTCATTAGCCAGTCACACGGGGAGGAGGAGGCGTGGTGATCTCGCGCTGCCCGGGACTCTGCGGCCATTAAACAGGTCCCCAGTGCGGTGACCGCCAGCCTGCCTCCCAAGTGCGCGCGGTGGGTGGAGCCGTTCTTTCTGGGACCTAAGTAGAGGTGAGCAGTTTGGGTGCCTCGGCTGTCCCCGAGGTTGAGTGGGGTAAACAAGTTGGGCGAGCAGCTGCTCAGCCAGCACCTGCGGGGTGCGGAGGAGGAGGAGGAGGGGATGAAGGAGCCGGGCGGGCTGCGGGCGCGTCTGGCCCGGGCCGGGAGCCGTAGTTGACTTTCTGGGAAGCCCACCGGGAGCGCGCCGCCCCGGTACCGGGAGAGCCGTCCCTGCCCTCCTGCAAGGGACCTGTCGGTTCAAGTGCAAGTGCGAGGGAAGGAGGGGGCCGGCGAGAAACTTGGAAGTAGTCAGGTGAGGTTGTTCCTTGGAGGGGTCCGAGAGCAGAACCTCGCACCTGCTCTACGCCCAAAGCTCTGGGTGGGCTCTTGGGGACGCCGTTTCCTTCTAATGACCCTAGTTCCTGTTCCCCCTGCCTCAGGCATTTACGCTGCCGCTGATAAAGTGAAACTGAGCAGACTTTGAGGCCACATAGCTAAAGAAGATGCGTGCGCCCATTGTAAGTGTGAAAGAGGGCGAATCCGGGGCCGGGGTCGGGGCCGGGGGTTGTGCTTTGATGGTGACTTGTCCTGGATCCTGATTTGTTACTTTGGAGAGCGGATCCTCGCAGATGTAGGAGCCACACGGATGGCTGCTGCTGGGCATCAGGTGTCAGATGTGGGTCAGCTGCTGTTGCAGTACTTTTACCCTCCTGGTTTGGAGGCCGCCCTGTCTGCCACAGGCCAGCAAAATCAGGACCCTCAGGAAGAGGCGAGGTCTTCCCATCAGGTGCTGCCCTCCTGAGTCAAGCCAGGACATGGGATGGGCTCCTGGGGCTGCCTGTCTGAGGTGGACCTGCTGTGTGGAGTCTTTTCCAGTGTCAGCTGACTCTCACCTCATGACCAGCCCTGCCAGCAAATTCCCTGCTCTGGCTTTTCCTCTTTCTAAACAGTGATGTGGCTCAGAAGTCATAACGGGGGCTTGGCAAATGCCTCCCTTCATCCTGGCAGGATCACAGCAGAGTGGTTCAGAATATAGGTTTTTGAGGTAGACCCACCTGGGATTGTATTCCCATTGAACACCCGGATGTGGGATAAAGTTCAAATTTACTCTGGTCCCCAGAGTGAAGGTTATATCACTTAAAATTTAGAAAGTGCTCAAAACAGTACCTGGCACACATACTGAGTGACTGTAATTCACTGTCCTTGTTATTATTTCAATCTATGTCAGTTGCTTCACGTGGTGCCTGGTATTGGGCACAACTTGCATATTTGATGCTTGGAGTGGTCACCTCTATCTGACAACATTATTTTTAGCAATAGTCGTGAAGTGACTAGTAATAATGTCCAGAAAAGAAACGCAGATGGTGAACATTTTCTTTTACTGAACTTCATATCTGTAATCATGCCAGTAAAAAAACAAAACATAAAGCTGGTTGTGGTGGGTTAAGCCTGTAATCCCAGCTACTTGGAAGGAGGAGGTGGGAGGATTGAGATGTTCAGGACAGCTGGGTAAAGTTAGTGAGCCCCTATCTCAAAAAAAACAAACAAAACAAAACAAAAATAAATAAAGCAAATGTGATAGTGCAGAAACAGGAAAGAGTAAAGGATTTGTAGTTACAGTAATACCCTTTTATTTTTTTTGATGGGTCTGGGGTTTGAACTCAGAGCTTCATGCTTGCCAGGCAGGTGCTCTACCACTTGAGCCACTCTGCCAGTCCAATATACTTTTGAAAAGAGGGAAAAACTTTCCACATGTAGGTCAGTCACATAACGAATAATTATAACTCTGCAATTTCTGTTTTGGAAATTTAATTTCTGAAAAAGTTTTCCGCAACTTTGCACATTCATATTCAGCATTCAATAGAGCTAGAATAGTCAGTTCACATTTGCTCGCAGTTGATTGGAGAATACTTTTTATTAATTTTAATTTTGAAAGCTGCTTTCACATGAAACAACAGAAATACAAATAGGAGAAGTCCTTAAACATTGGAATTAGTCTGGCAGAGATTTATAAAAATCTCATTCACAATAAATTCCAGAAATTGCAATACTGCCCCTCTTCTCCTTCTCCGTCTTTTTCATCACTTCTAATGGCTTTTAAATATCTCTACATTCCAAACATTTTCAGGTGAACATCATTATATGTTTTAATTTTATTGTCAGAATCCCCCAAGTTTTTCTTCTGCAAAAAAATCAGAGAAAATGGCAGAATGAAAGTGAATGTTGACATTTATTTCATCTGTTGCTTTAGAGTGAAAGTCTTGGTCGTGGTTACTTTTATTTTCTTCTGGTACTAGGACACCAGACTATTTTGTTTTCCGTTTAAGTCCAGGAAAGTGTAGGACCACAGGGGCTGGCAATGTTAACTGTGTAGAAAGTGAACTTGAACCATGTTGAGCTCTTAGGAACTGACTGCTGAAACACATGTGTTTTGGGGGCTGATTATGTACCTGTGTGCTCTCTGATTTAATTTCCATGTAGAAGATAAAAAATTTTAAAGGAATAAGAAATAAAAATGTACAAATTGGAGACTCATATAGGTATTATCGAATCTCAATGGTAACTCTTCTTATGCTGCGCATGGAAACTGATCACTCCTTCCCCTGGGCTCAGCCCAACTATTTTGTCATCCCATCCACAGGGCTGTGGCTGGGACAATGTGGGGGCACTGGGGAAGCATCCAGGCATGGTGACATTGAGTCTAGCTCCTCTCCCCGTGCTCCAGGCCTGTTAGAATGCATGTACTAGGAGTCTTTGCCTTCCTCCACCACCCACATCATCCTTGGATCTGGCTGACTGAGCAGGTGCTGCTATGAAAGTGAAACTGAAACAGAGACTCAAGAAGTTGAAGGGCCCTTCTCGGTGCCTAAGCCCAGACTCCTTTAGCTACTACCTAAGTTTGCTTAATGAGTTGAGAATCTCTGTGGAGTTAGGGTACAAAGGGAAGGAGAGAGAAGACGACCCTTCTCAGATAGAGCCGGGGCCTTGGGTCCTGCAGGCCTTTGTCCTCACACCTGAGGGGTCACAGGCTGAGAGGGGCTCCAGGAGCAAGCACTGTGCCCCTCCAGGCCATAAGCTTCCGCTTAGAATGTTGTGCGTGCCACGCTGGAGGCTGGAGAATTGGTTCCCATCCTGGCCCTCGATGTGGTACTCAGGTCTAGCTGTCAGGGTAGGCATGGAAGAGGATCATTCCTTCCTCTGGGCTCGGCCCAACATTGTCCCATGATGAGGACTGTGGTCCTGAAGGCATCAGTAACTCTGCAGGGGCCTCAGGAAGGCATGGAGGGGTGGGGACATTGACATTGAGCCTGTCTTGTGTGTGTGTGTGTGTGTGTGTGTGTCACTGGGGAAAGAACTCAGGGGCTCACTCGTGCTAGGCAAGTGCCCCTACCACAGAGCGATACCCCATCCCTGAGCTCATCTTGAGGAATGAATAGGAATTTGCTAGATGACCAGAGATGGCCATTTCAGGTCTAGAGTGTGGTGATGCACAGGGAAGGATAGCCATGGGGAGCTGAGCTGTCAGCGGATATCAGCACCTTTGTGTGAATTAGTTACACAGAAAGACCTTGGCTTTTTTTTTTTTTTTTTTTGTGGTACTGGGGATTGAACCCAGGGCTTGGTATTCCCCAGACAAGTGCTCCACCACTTTTTTCCAAGTATTTTGCATAAATTTAATTGAATCACATTATTCTATAGTTTTATTATTATAGTTTTATTATTCATTTCATGCATGTGAAACCAGTGCTTGAAGAGGGTAAGTAGCTTCCCACAGTCCCGCAGACACAGAGGTCCAGGTGGGACATCGGTGTAGGTCTCCAGACCTGAAAGCTACTAAACCGTGGGGGCTAGCAAAGGCCCATTTGAGGAACTTTCTTGTCTTCTGGTTTGGGTTCCAAATAAATGGACCGTCCTGCTACAAGTTCATGTTCACAGATTTAATTTCCAAAAAGACAGGCTTCACTTTTTGTTTCCCTTCCTTGCACCCCTAAATACTGACTCACTGCCTACTATATCATTGGATTTTGGGGTTCAGGCAGATCTGTAGCAGAATCCTGCCACTGCTTCTTGGGTTGCTCTAAGACCCTGGGCAAGTTCATCCCCATCTCTGAGCTCAGTTTCCTTGTGTGTAAAATGGAGCTGTTGGAAGGACTCCAGGCAACCTGTGAAAACCGCCAGTAGGTCCTGGTGGAGGTGCGCGTAAGTCGGGGGAAGTTCTGATGCATGAGGGGCGAGCTTTGCCCTGTGGGAGAACAGGCCTGAGGTCTAGTGCTCGAGAGCTTGGGAGGGCAGATGTGTTTTGCCTCATTTTCTCAGGATCTTTGGGCTGCCGAGGCTGGGTATGGTGCCTGCCACTGTCTCTCCCCGAACTGGCAAGGAGGCCTGGGCACAGAGCAGTAAGGAGACGGTAATGAGTCAGGCCAACTCCTGTCCATCCCTCCTCCATCTTTTCTCTGGGCCAGAGGCTGGGAAGTCAGGTCTCTTCCGTGTTCTTCTGCACCCACCACCCAGCCTGCATCAGACACTCTCAACCCTCCTTAGAAATTAAGCAGTTTTACAGCATTCACCCCAATTAGCTCAACTAATCCTTACATAAACACTGCTGGTTAGGCCTCAGCAGTCCTGTTTAACCAGAAAGCTCAGAGAGGTTAAGTGATTCTTGAAGATCACAGAGCATTAGAACAGAGAGGGGCTCTGTTGTGGATCCTGAGGGTGGCCTGGGTGGGTTTCTGGGAATGCAGTCTCAGATTGACGACCAGCTCCTCACAGGTTTCTTCTTTCCCCAAAACCTTGGCACAGAATCTCCCAACTCCCTTCTGGGAAATCTATTCTCAGCACTGCCCAGACTTTTTTGTTTATCACAAGTCTCCAGACATGTCGAAAGTGAAAGGCACAGTCAGGTATTTCCTTACTCTCCAGAGCATGTGGTTTCGGGGAACAGGGAGAAGAACAGTATCCTCTGGGTTTCACAAGCTCCACCTGGATCCAGAGCTGCCTGCAACCTCTCAAATAAAAAGAAAAAGGAGAAACTGCCATTTACCAAATGCCTTCTATGTGCTGAGTATTTTTTAGATGTGACTTATTTGACCTTCAGGATAATCCCATGAATCAGGCATTCTGTATAATCATCCCCATTTCACAGCAGAGGAAACTGAGGCCAGGAGAGGCTAGGTAAGCTTGTCCAGGGCTATGCAGTGAGTGACCAGCTCGTGGGTTTGAGCACACAGCCCTAAGTGCAATCACTATGCTATTTCTGAAAGTGAGGTCCATCTTGATTCAAAAATAGAGCAGTCATGCTCATTTTCCTTCTTTCTATATTTTTGGTACTTCTGAAATATTTCATAAAAAAACAAAACTCCTGAACTCTGATGAGACAAATGGGGCGTGGGTGGTTGGAATGCCTTATGGCCTTGAGTGAAAGAAAAACAGTTTTTGCTTTTGGACTCTTGGATTGCAAAGTGTTCTGAAAGTTCCCTCACTTCTGGGTTCCCTGCTGGGTGCCCAGAGCCGGGCTGGG